TTTACCCCCAAACTCCTCCTCCTCACTCCCTACAACTCCTCCTCTCCTCCTCCTCACCCCTACAACCCTCCCTCCTCCTCCTCACCCCTACCTCCCTCCTCACTCCTCTCACAACTCCTCCTCTCCCTCCTCCTCACCCCTAACTCCCTCCTCTCCTCCTTCACCCCCACAACCCTCCCTCTCCCTCCTCCTCACCCCCACAACTCCTCCCTCCTCCTCTTCACCCCTACAATCCCTCCTCTCCTCCTCCTCACCCTCACAACTCTCCCTCCCCCCTCTCACCCCACAATCCCTCCCTCTCTCCTCCTCCTCACCCCTACAACTCCTCCCCCTCCCCCCTCCTCACCCCTACAACTCCTCCTCCTCCTCCTCACCTCCCCACAACTCCTCCTCCCCGTCCCCTCCTCAACCCTGCCCCTCCTCCCCCATACCCTCCTCCCAACCCCTTGCCTTCCCACACCCCTCACCCCAACAACCCCCTCCCACACCCTCCTCTCTACCTCCTCCCAACAACCTCTCCCCACACCCTCCTCCCCACACCTCCCCACACTTCCCCACACTCCCTCACAACCTCCTCAACCACTCCTCCCCAAACAAAAGATAATAAGATGAAACCACAAATTTAAATTAAAAAACCCGACACGAAGGCCAACGAGATAGGAGCATTATCACGATAGCTAAATGTCAGAGAGGGAGACGGTGGGCCGGAAGTCGGGTTTATCCAGTGACGAGTTTGCTACGTAGCTATAGTGAGTGAGAAGGAGGGGGGGGTACTAACCTCATGTCTTAATGCTGCTTCCGGTTCTGTAGTCGAGAGGGGAGAGATATGGTTAGTATGATGTAGGTTAGGTTAGGTTAGGTCAGGTTAGGTAAGTTCAGTTATGTTAAATTGAGTTACCTGCTAACAATGAGTTAAATTGGGTTAGATTAAGGTAAACCGAGTTTGATTAAATTAAATTGGGATAGAATGAATTAAATCCAAATCAGACTGAGTTAAAATGAGTTTAGCAGGTTTAGATTTAGTTAATCTGGTTCAAGTCAAACCCCCATCCATCCCTTCCTCTCTCCTCCGTCCCCCCACTCACTACCGCTGGACGGATGTTTCAACGCAACAGAACTCTCCCACGCTGCGTGTACTTGGGCACGTCATCAGGTGAGGAAACACTCTCACTCACCGGAATCACTTGGACTTATAAACACACTCGAGAAATTTCATTCCAACACTTCCAGAATGTCGACATTTAAAAAACCCTTAAAATTGATAAAGTAGGCCTTTAAAAACTTTTATAATTTATCATATAAGCTTAAAACATAATTTATCATTTAGGCTTTAAAAACCTCTATAATTTATCACAAAAGCTTTAAAAACTTCTATAATTTATCATATAAGCTTTAAAACCTTCAGAATTTTTCATTTAGACTTTAGAAACCTCTATAATTTATCATATAAGCTTTAAAACCTTCAGAATTTATCATTTAGGCTTTAAGAACTTCTATAATTTATCACATAAGCTTTAAAAACCTCTATAATTTATCATATAAGCTAAAACCTTCAGAATTTATCATTTAGGCTTTAAGAACTTCTATAATTTATCACATAAGCTTTAAAAACCTCTATAATTTATCATATAAGCTTTAAAATCCTTCAGAATTTTTAATACAGGAATAAGTATATTGTAAATCAAGGGGGGGGGAGATTAATATGGGGGAGTAAGGGAGGGGAGAATAGGGAGAAGGAAGGTGAAGAGGGAGGGGAAGTGGGATGAGAGGGGAGGACAAGGGGAAATAGAGAAGACAAAAAGGGGATAAGAGGAAGGGAGGGGTAAGGAGAGTGTTAAGGGAGAGAGGAGGAAAGAAGAGAATGGGGGAAGGAAGTAGGAAAGAAAAGGAAGAAGAGGACAGAGGAGGAAAGAAAGGGGGAACGAAGAGGAGGATAAAATGGTGATAAGAATTGAATTGAATTGAAACAGTTTATTTAGCGTTAAAAACACAGATACAGAGTGGATAATGCTAACAATATTAACATGGCTGAGCCAGTTGAGAACCTGAGCACCTGATATATACTATACATTTATCTCAAGGAAGTATTATGTAAACATTTAGTATCATCTGGAATAGTACAATAGCATGGTGGTATTAAGAACATCTCATTATGTTACCACGATTATCACTGCAGTACAACCTGGGCTGTACAGTAATAAGGTTGAACAAGAGGACAGAGCTGTCAGGATTATGTCTAGTTGGCAATTATGTTTATTACAATGGTAATTACTTATTTATTTACATGATAATTTCCGATAAAACGGTTTTGATGGTACAATAAAAGCAGGTACTGTAAATATAGTAAGTGTTACAAGAAATATTAATTCTTCGACAATAGATATTTTTTAAGAGATGATTTAAGGAAGGGAGAGTAGTCTTTGCTCGGATGTGGGGGGTAAGTTGAGGGAGCAAGGAGGAGGAATGGGAGAACAGTTTGGGGTGAGGCGGAAGGAAAGGAAGGGGGGAAAGGACAGTGAGGGGAAGGGAAGGGACAGGAGGGAGGAAAAGGAGGAAAGTGGGAGAAAAAGGGGGCATGGAGGGGGGAAAGGGAGGAAAGAGAGGGCAGTGGGGGGACAGGGAGGAAAGGGGAGGCAGAGAGGAGGAAAGGGGCAGGGAGGAGGAAAGGGGGACAGGAGGGGGACAGGAGGAAAGGGGGGACAGGGAGGACAATAACCAGCAATAAATAACGCAATAATTCACGAGTCGTGCAATAACAGGCAAGTTTACGGTCAACCTCGAGAGAGAGAGAGAGAGAGAGAGGGGAGAGAGAGAGAGAGAGAGAGAGAGAGAGAGAGGTAAAGGTTAAACAACACTGGCCGTCATTATGTTAATTATAATAATGATACATTACCTGTTAAAACACCTGAACCCGAGACCTTCACCAGCGTGTTTGTTTGTCTGTCTGTATTAAAGTATTTGTTTCGTTTGTTTATATTGTTTGTATTGTGTTTGTTTGTTTGTGTATGTATTGTTTCGTCTTTGTGTGGGTTTTACGAGTCAAATATCACACACACACACACACACACACACACACACACACACACACACACACACACACACACACTATGATAACTCCTTAAGTTTTTAACCTTGTCAATACTGCTCCCCTCCCTCCCTTACTCTCCCTTCCTCCCTACTCTCCTCTCTCTCCTCTTCCTCTCCAAACTCTCTCTCTCACTCTCCCTTCTGAACTTCCTATTCTCTCCCTCCTACTTCCTTCCTCTTCTATAAATTCCTCCTCTCCTCCCCTTCTTAAACTCCTTCCACCCTCCTTCCTCTTCCATACTATCCTTACCTATTTCCTTTCCCATAATCTGCCTCCTCAATCTCTCTCCCTCCCACATTCTCTCTCCCTCCCTCCCCCAACACTCTCCTCACCAGACTCATATAACAAACGAGTTAATGGGATGGACAGGTTGAGAAAAATGAGGAGAGGAATGATGTTGTTGAGGGAGGTAGAGCGGGAAGGGAGGGAATGGTGAGGGAGAGAGGGAGGGAGGGAGGGAGGGGAGAGGGAGGGAGGGGAGGGGAGGGGAGAGGGAGGGAGGGGAGGAGGGAGGGGAGGGGGGAGGGAGGAGGGAGGGAGGGAGAGAGGAGGGAGGAGGGAGGGGGAGGGAGAAAGGGAGGGGAGGGAGTGGGGAGGGAGAGAGGGGAGGGAGGAGGGGAGGGAGGGAGGAGGAGGGAGTGGTGAGGGAGAAGGAGAGAGGGGAGGGAGGGGAGGAAGAGATGGAGAAAGGGAGGGAGGGAGGGAGGGAAGGAGGAGGATGTAAATTTTATGGTCTAATTCTCTCTTCCTCTTCTACCTCCCAATTATCCTATATCTCTCTTCTTCTTCTCTTTGTCTCAATCTATCACCTCCTCCCATCTCCTCCCCTCTCTCTCTCCTCTTCCTCTTACTCCATCCTTGTCCTGTCCTTCTCTCTTCTCTCCCCTCTTCTTTTCGTTGTATCTAAATCGTTTTCTTTGTCCCTTTCCATTGTCTATCTCAATTCTCACATTCCTTCCTCCCTTTCTCATTTTCTCTCTCTCCCCTCCTTTCTTCCCTCCCTATCCATATTATCTTCCTTCCTTCTTTCCATAGTTTCTCCTTCCTTCCCCCGTCTCTCTCTCTCCCTCATTTCCTCTTCCTTCTCTTTCTACTTCTCTCTCCTTCTCTCCCTCCCTCCTCTCTCCTTCTCTCCCTCCCTCCTCTCTCCCTCCCTCCTCTCTTCTCTCCTCTCCTCTCCTCCTCTCCCTCCCTCTCCTTCTCTCCTCCCTCTCCCTCCTCCCTCTCTCCTTCTCCCTCCTCTCTCTCCTACCTCCCTCCCTCCCTCCACCGACGGACGGGGCCATTATGAATGGCCCATCAAGGGCTGCCAACATCGTGAACACACACACACACACACACACACACACACACACACACACACACACACACACACACACACACACACACACACAACACTTCCTCATCTATCACAATAATCTATCCATTACATCCAGAATAGATAGAAAGGATAGATAAGTTGATGGATAGAAAGTGGATAGATAGATGTTTAAGGAGAATATACCTTAGTACCTCCTGAGTCGGGCTAGAGTACAGTGTGTGTGTGTGTGTGTGTGTGTGTGTGTGTAAGGATGATTTTTACCTTCAAATTTCAAGAATTTATGAATGTTGAAATGATAGAAAGAAAGACGTAGCTAAAGGAATGGTCACTGTTGTTGTTTAAGGAGGTTGTTAAGGTTGTGGTCACGTGGTCAATTAGGTTGTTATGTGTTATGTAAATGTGGTTGAGTGTTATGCTCTAATATTAAACTAACCTAAGCTTAACCTAACCTAGCCTAGTCTAGTCTAACCTAACCTAACCTAGCCTAACTTAAACCTATCTTTGTCCAATGAGTGGGATTTGTCCAGTGGGGATATGTCCAGGTTGATAGTTGTCCAGTGGGGAATTTATCCAGTTAAGGGATGAGTTCAGTTAGGAATTTGTCCAGTGAGGATTTGTCCAGGCCGGTAATTGCCAACGGCGTGGTTGACCAACGGGTAGTTGACCAGCGGTGGTTGACCAGCGGGTAGTTGACCAGCGGGTAGTTACGAAGCGGGTAGTTGACCAGCTGGTAGTTGACCAGCGGGGTAGTTGACCAGTGGGTAGTTGACCAGCGGTAGTTGACCAGCGGGGTAGTTGACCAGTGGGGTGTTGGACCAGCGGTAGTTGACCAGCGGGGTAGTTGACCAGCGGGTAGTTGACCAGTGGGTAGTTGACTAGTGGGTAGTTGGCGGGTGACGGCAGGTGTGACCAACGGGGTAGTTGACCAGCGGGGTAGTTGACCAGCGGGTAGTTGACCAGTGGGTAGTTGATGGTAGTGGGTAGTTGACCGGGTGGTAGTTGACCAGCGGGGTTGATGGGTAGTGACCAAGGTAGTTGACCAGCGGGGTAGTTGACCAACGGGGTAGTTGACCAGCGGGGTAGTTGACCAGCGGGTTGAGAATGCGGGGGTAGTTGACCGGCGGGGTAGTTATCCAGTAGGGTAGTTGACCAGCGGGTAGTGAACAGTGGGGTAGTTGACCAGCGGTGGTTGACTAGTGAGTGGATTATGTGGGGTAGTTGATCAGCGGGTAGTTGACCAGCGGGGTAGTTGACCGGCGGGGGTAGTTATCCAGTAGGGTAGTTGACCAGGGGTAGTTGACTAGTGGGGTAGTTGACCAGCGGGTAGTTGACTAGTGGGGTAGTTGATCAGCGGGTAGTTGACCAGCGGGTAGTTGACCAGCGGGTGTGTTGACCAGCGGGTGGTTGACCAGCGCGGTAGTTGACCAGCGGGTAGTTGACCAGCGGGGTGGTTGACCAGCGGGGTAGTTGACCAGCGGTAGTTGTCCAGTTGGGTAGTTGACCGGCGGTGGTTATCAGTAGATTGACCAGCGGGTAGTTGACCAGTGGGTAGTTGACTAGTGGGGTAGTTGACCAGCGGGAGGTGATTGACCAACGGGTAGTTGACTAGTGGGAGTGTGACCAGCGGGGTGGTTGACCAGCGCGGTAGTTGACCAGCGGGTAGTTGACTAGTGGGGTAGTTGACTAGTGGGGTAGTTGACCAGCGGGTAGTTGACTAGTGGGGTGGTTGATCAGCGGGTAGTTGACCAGCGGGTAGTTGACCAGCGGGGTGGTTGACCAGCGGTAGTTGACCAGTGGGTAGTTGACCAGCGGGTAGTTGACCAGCGGGGTAGTTGACCAGCGGTGGTTGACCAGCGGGTAGTTGTCCAGTTGGAGTTTAACAGCGGGTAGTTGACTAGTGGGGTAGTTGACCAGCGGGGTAGTTGACCAACGAGTGTAGTTGACCAGGGGTAGTTGACTAGTGGGGTAGTTGACCAGCGGGGTAGTTGACAGGGGTAGTTGACCAACGGGGTAGTTGATAAACGGGGTAGTTGACCAGCGGGGTAGTTGACCAACGGGGTAGTTGACCAACAGAGGGTAGTTGACCAGTGGGTAAGTTGACCAGCAGGGTAGTTGACCAGCGGGAGTAGTTGACTAGTGGGTAGTTGACCAGCGGGGTAGTTGACCAGCGGGTAGTTGACCAGCAGTACACAACACTATAATTCATGACGTACTTACCCAGATCAACATCAATACCGCAACACACCACAGACACAACACCAATATACCCATTTGTGCCATTAATCTTTATTTGTGTTGTGTACTAAGTCAACCACACAATACACCTGTATGTTAGTCATCTCTCGTGTTGACGTAGTTGTTATTTCTATGTCTTGCTAAGGATAAAGTTTGTAATAATCAATAAAGAATTCTGGCAACTGTCCTTAAAGCCCTTGATGTTCCGCAGAATCAGAGCCCTCGACCCCTTCATACTGCCCATGTGTATGCTCATATCTCTTTTATTTATTTACATTTCCACTCGTTATATGATCAATTATATGGATAATTTCATCTTAATGTAAAAATAGTTGTTATAAAGCGACTGGATATTCCGTTATAGGGAGAGTTTCAGTATGTCGGGGTTGATGGTGAGGAAGGCCAGGTCCCGGATAAGCAAAGCGACTCTTACGCTCATCTCACTTATTTCTCTTTGTGATCCGTGTTGTCGTTTCCTCCGCTGCTCCGTTACGTCACATACACTCCAACTCATATTAAACTTGTAGTATACGGAGAGAGTGTATCGTATTGGCCTCAAGAGACAGTGTAATAAAAGCTAATAGGTTAAGTGAGGGCGGTGGTGTGGTGTGCTCGCCCGCCAACCTCTTGCCATACGATGCTCGCTTGTTTTATTGTTCCTCATATCCTAACAACCATCTAACACCCTTAACACCTATCATTATATAATCCTAACTGCCAGGATGGAATAAATAACATATATAAGGTAAGATATTTAAAGAAAGAATTAGAACATGGAATAAGAGGACAATGGGAGAGTAAGTGGGATGGCAACAAGAGCGGTGGTTGACAGAGCTGCTACACAAACCGCCATTCCAAATAGAAGACATTAAATCTTCACTACCAGATTATGGGTCCTTATGAATCCCATTACCACTACTGATAAGCAATTAAGTACAGAGGAGAGATTGTTTGATATAATGTTGTGTAGAGCAGCCGCCAGCATAGGCGTGTTTCCCGGGTTTAATCAATATTTGAAATAAACGCTAACAGTTCCCGGGACACACGACAAGAGAAGGACATTCTCCATGAATCAATTTTTTTTATCAACTTTCGACGGGTGATAACGTGCAGTGTACACACTCATACTGGAGTGTATTAGATTATTAGTCGTAGCAGTAATGACACTACTACAATAATAATAATAGATGATAATATAATATTAATAACTATAATAATAATATTTGTGATAATAATAATAATAAAATTAATAATAATAATAATAATAAAAATGATAATAATTTAAAAAAAATGTTATTACACAATACAATAATGTATAATAATAATAACAACACATACGTAGTGTATTAATCACAACACCCCAGAGTAGTGTGGGTAATATGCCTACACAATGATAGTGAGTCACAACACCCACCAGGTGGTATGAGTGGTCTGCACCCAGGTGTGGGTGAGTCACAACACCCAAGGCAGTTATAAAAAGGCGAGAAAGGTGGTGTAGGGGAGTCCAACACCCACCAGGTGGTGTAGGTGAGTCACAACACCACCAGGTGGTGTAGGTGAGTCACAACACCCACCAGGTGGTGTAGGTGAGTCACAACACCCACCAGGTGGTGTAGGTGAGCACACCCACCAGGTGGTGTAGGTGAGTCACAACACCCACCAGGTAGTGTAGGTGAGTCACAACACCCACCAGGTGTAGGTGAGTCACAACACCACCAGGTGGTGTAGGTGAGTCACAACACCCACCAGGTGGTGTAGGTGAGTCACACCCACCAGGTGGTGTAGGTGAGTCACAACACCCACCAGGTGGTGTAGGTGAGTCACAACACCCACCAGGTGGTGTAGGTGAGTCACAACACCCACCAGGTGGTGTAGGTGAGTCACAACACCCACCAGGTGGTGTAGGTGAGTCACAACACCCACCAGGTGGTGTAGGTGAGTCACAACACCCACCAGGTGGTGTAGGTGAGTCACAACACCCACCAGGTGGTGTAGGTGAGTCACAACACCCACATCCTACTCTCCCTCCCCCACGTGCTAATTATGGTCGCCCAGCTGATCTGTGTTTACATTCTCCCAGCTGATCACGGTATAACTCCTCCCAGCTGATCAATGTTTACGTTTTGTCAGCTGATCAGACTTAAAGTGACTAACTTACCCGACAGATAATAGGAATTCTTATCTCACTTATATGGACCATTTGAGAGACTAATACAAGGTTGTGTAATATAATACACCCGAGTCACATTGCTGTGTGTTCACCGCTTGGATAACGAGAACATGTACTTGTATGGTGTAAGCAGACATGGGTGATAAGGTGATAAGGTCTTGATAAGGCAATTTACTGTAGACTCGCTAGAAAATGTGAGATGTACTGTAAGGTCAGTTTCTGGGCAGTGGATGGTGAGTGATGTAGATCTCTCTTTCTCTCTAATTCTCTCTTTTTATTTATTTTTCTATTTATGTCTCTACATATATCTCTTTCTCTCTAATTCTCTCTTTCTATTTTTCTATTTATGTCTCTCTACAGATCTCTCTTTCTCTCTACATCTCTCTTTATTTACACCCTCGTACGTATCTCTAATCGCTAATCTCATATATCTCTCTTATCTCTATATGTCTATCTCTAAATTTCTTGACTATTTTTTGCATATTTGTGTCACTGTCTTAGTATGTTTTTATCTTCCTACCCATATATAAACGTCTGTCTGTCTCTCTACCTGTCTCTGTCTGTCCATACTTAACCCTGTCCCAACCTAACCTGTCCTAACCTCAACCTGTCCCAACCTAATCTGTCCTAACCCAACCTGTCCTAACCTAACGTGTCCCAACCCAACGTGTCCCAACCCAACGTGTCCCAACCCAACCTGTCCCAACCCAACCTGTCCCAACCCAATCTGTCCCAACCCAACTTGTCCTAACCCAATCTGTCCCAACCCAACCTGTCCCAACCCAACCTGTCTTAACCCAATCTGTCCCAACCTAACCTGTCCCAACCCAACGTGTCCCAACCCAACCTGTCCCAACCCAACCTGTCCCAACCTATGTCCCAACCCAACGTGTCCCAACCCAACGTGTCCCAACCCAACCCGTCCCAACCCAACCTGCCCTCAACCCAATCTGTCCCAACCCAACCCGTCCCAACCCAACCTGTCCCAACCCAACCCGTCCCAACCCAAACCGTCCCAACCCAATCCGTCCCAACCCAACCCTGTCCCAACCCAACCTGTCCCAACCCAAACCGTCCCAACCTAATCTGTCCCAACCCAACCTGTCCCAACCCAACCCGTCCCAACCCAACCTGTCCCAACCTAACCCGTCCAACCTAATCCGTCCCAACCCAAACCGTCCCAACCTAATCTGTCCTAACCCAACCTGTCCCAACCCAAACCGTCCCAACCCAATCTGTCCCAACCCAACCCGGTCTCACCCAATCTGTCCCAACCCAACCTGTCCTAACTTAACCTGTCCCAACCCAACCCTGTCCCAACCCAACCCTGTCCTAACCCAACGTCCCAACCTAATCTGTCCCAACCCAACCTGTCCCAACCCAACGGTCCCAACCCAACGTGTCCCAACCCAACCTGTCCCAACCCAACCTGTCCCAACCTAATCTGTCCCAACCCAACTTGTCCCAACCCAATCTGTCCCAAACCAACCCGTCCCAACCCAACCTGTCCTAACCTAATCCGTCCCAACCTAACCCTGTCCCAACCTAACGTGTCCCAACCCAACCCGTCCCAACCTAACCCGTCCCAACCCAATCCGTCCCAACCTAACGTGTCCCAACCTAACCTGTCCCAACCCAACCTGTCCCAACCCAACCCGTCCCAACCCAACTGGTCCTAACCCAACCCGTCCCAACCCAAACCGTCCGAACCCAATCTGTCCCAACCTAATCTGTCCCAACCCAACCCGTCCCAACCTAAACCGTCCCAACCCAATCCGTCCCAACCCAACCCGTCCCAACCCAACCCGTCCCAACCCAACCTGTCCCAACCAACCCGTCCCAACCAATCTGTCCCAACCTAAACCTGTCCCAACCCAATCTGTCCCAACCCAATCTGTCCCAACCCAACCCGTCCCAACCCAAACCGTCCCAACCCAATCTGTCCCAACCCAACCTGTCCCTCACCTAATCGTCCCAACCCAACCCTGTCCCAACCTAACCGTCCCAACCCAACCTGTCCTAACCTAACCCGTCCCAACCCAACCCGTCCCAACCCAACCTGTCCTAAGCCAATCCGTCCCAACCCAAACCGTCCCAACCCAAACCGTCCCAACCAAACCGTCCCAACCCAACCCGTCCCAACCCAACCTGTCCCAACCCAACCTGTCCTAACCCAACCCGTCCCAACCCAACTTGTCCCAACCCAACCCGTCCCAACCCAACCTGTCCCAACCCAACCTGTCCCAACCCAACCTGTCCCAACCTAACCTGTCCTAACCCAACCTGTCCCAACCTAACTCTTGTCCCAACCTAACTCTGTCCCAACCCAACCTGTCCCAACCTAACCTGTCCTAACCTATCCCGTCCTAACCCTAACCTGTCCCAACCTAACTGTCCCAACCTAACCTGTCCCAACCAAACCCGTCCCAACCCAACTGTCCCAACCCAACCTGTCCCAACCCAACCTGTCCCAACCCAACCTGTCCCAACCCAACCTGTCCCAACCCTAATCTGTCCCAACCTAACCCGTCCCAACCCAACCTGTCCCAACCCAACCTGTCCAAACCAACCTGTCCCAACCCAACCTGTCCCAACCCAATCCGTCCCAACCTAATCCGTCCCAACCCAACCTGTCCCAACCCAACCTGTCCCAACCCAACCTGTCCCAACCCAACCTAATCTGTCCCAATCTAACCTGTCCCAACCCAACCTGTCCCAACCCAACCTG